GGAGAAAAATTATTGAGGCGGTGCAAGTTGTTGTTAAAATCGCCAAGAGTCCATTTGAGCACTTGTTTTGTAAAAGTAAAAACGTTGTCAATCGTTTATAAATGAATATATTTGTATAAATTTTGGTCAGGATATTCCAGAAACATTAAAGAGCAAATTGAAACAATAGAATAATTTTAAGCTTACATGCATATATAGAAAAAAAATTATTTCTACAGTGATCGATTTGGTACGATTATAACTTAAGCTATTTCTCTTTACTTTGTTATGCCTATTTTGTGGACTAGATTTTGATGTAAATTAAGATGTTTTTTGTTTTTCAGGTTTCTGTGAGAATGAGAAAGTTAAAACCTTTTACCGAATTGATTTATCAGGAAAAATAAGAAATTTATAGTTGATTTAGAATTTTACGCGTCATAGCATTGTTTATCGTTTATAGCCATTTTGAGAAAATGAGTATAAAAGTAAAAGGGCTCTCACTTGCTTATAAATCAATATATTTGTATAATTTTTGGACAGGTTATTCCAGATACATTGTAATACAAATTGGTACAATAAAATAATTTTAAGCTTCCATGTAAAAGTCAAAAACAATTTATTTCTGCAGTGTTTAATTTGTACGAATATACTTCAAGCTATTTACATTGTATTTTCTTTGATGCCTATTTTAAGACTATATTTTGATCTAAATTAAGATTTTAATATTTGAAATTGTAATTTCTTTCAGGGTTTTGGAAATATGAAGAGTCTGTAATATCTGTAAAGTTTTTATGTTACTTGGCAAAGATTATTATTTAAGTAAAAACAGTTAGAAACAAGGTGTCAACAAAATTCAACTTTAGTCAGGTAACATATTAGTTTCTTCTCTATTTGTTCTATTTTTCAGGTTTTTGTGAGAAGGAGAAATTTAAAACCTTTTACCGAATTTATTTATCAAGAGAAATAAAAAAGTTATAGTTGATTTAGAATTTTACGCGTCATAATATTGTATATCACTTATATAGCCATTTTGAGAAAATGAGTATAAAAGTAAAATGGCTCGCACTCTCTTATGAATGAATATATTTGTATAATTTTTGGACAGGATATTCCAGATACATTGTAATGCAAATTGAAACAATAAAATAATTTTAAGCTTCCATGCAAAAGTAAAAGAAAATTTATTTCTGCAGTGTTTTGTTTGTACGAATATACTTCAAGCTATTTACATTGTATTTTCTTCGATGCCTATTTTAAGACTATTGTTTGATCTAAATTAAGATTTTGATATTTGAAATTGTAATTTCTTTCAGAGTTTTGGAAATATGAAGAGTCTGTAATGTCTGTGAAGTTTTTATGTTACTTGGCAAAGATTATTATTTAAGTAAAAACAGTTAGAAACAAGGTGTCAACAAAATTCAACTTTAATCAGGTAACATATTAGTTTCTTCTCAATTTGTTCTATTTTTCAGGTTTTTGTGAGAATGAGAAACTGAAAACCTTTTACCGAATTGATTTATCAAGAGAAATAAGAAATTTATAGTTGATTTAGAATTTTACCTGACATTATATTGTATCCTGTTGTTTTGATATAAGTAAATGTTAAAATGTTGTCATTATAAATAAATTTTTGTTTAGACAGGATGTTTTTTAAATAATTTATATGTCATAATAATAATATATATTATGGTTTTGATTGCTTTTCTCATCTTCAATATTGGGATGTTATCTTTCTGCCTTCTGATTATCATTCTGTAGCTTCGTATCTATTAAATTGTTTGAGAGAAACTGATTATCGTGTTTCCAGAGTAAATGTTGTAAATTTCTGTTCGATATTGGGTTTCTCTCATATTTACCACTTTGAACGTATGGTCTCCACTTAGGCGCAAGATATTTGGATTTGCAAGATGGTTGTAAACACCATTTTTACGGCAGGTATCTAACGAGTCATTACACTATCTCATTGAGTAAGTGGAGCTATTGAAGAACTTCCTCACATTAAGTCTTATTTAAACACCTGAATCATGTGAATGCACTATCTATAACTGAAGCAATAGAGACACACCTCAATGTATCCCCTCGAAGACATACTTTAACACATTCTCTAAAAAATCAACACAAAAATAGATTAAAATACAGACTTTAATTCATTTATTATTTTCACAATTTAATGAATGTAAACAATACTCTGTGCGCCATATGACCCTAGGAATAAAAAGTATTTCTCCCCATTGTACACCTAAATATGTCAGTTTGGCCTCTCATGACCTCACTGGCACCAAAAATTTCATTCATAATTTCATAGGAGACCATCAGAAAAAAATTGGCCATTTTTTCAAAAATTGGCCATGTTGAGAGGCTTCGTCATTGACTGGCCATTAAAGAGGCATGGAAATTCCATTATATTGAATTTTTTGTTAATATTAACGTTCCTGATTGCACCATCTTTATCTCAAGATGTAACATTCGACTGAAACAATGTACTATGAGAGATTCTTTTGTATAGAAAATATCGTTTTTTGTCATAATATTGTAATTCATAATTCAATTCTTTCCTTTGTACACAGCCACTGGCCGGCCATAAAAATTGGCCAAGAAATGAGGGACGAAGCCTAAACTCAGTTCTGTTGTTTACTAAAAGTCAGTCAGTGCTGGCCATAAACTTAGAAACTAAAATACGAGGATTAAATTTGGAATCTGAACTCTTAGTGTTTTTTGTTTTAAGATTTTTCTCTTTCGCTTCTTTTTATTTTATATTTGATCCGTATTAATTTCAACGAGATGTTGTATGGGGAGGAAATGGTGTCGCTTTAAGCTTAGAAGAATTCAATCTAAGATAAGAACGATTTAAATAGAAAAGGTAGTAAATATTCTTTATACAGTATGAATCTATCACTGAAAATTAAAAGACAGTAATGCAAGTTTACAAAGCAAGGCAATTCCGTAGTTGTAGAGTATTGGGTTATGTGCCAAGGCAAGTATGGAGGGCAATCTGACATTCTTCTCTTGCATTCCATCAAATGGAGGAAATATTTAGCCTAGTGCCAGCCCCATCGTTAGGGTGTGGTCCATGCCCCAGCAAGTGAGAATTAAGCCTCAGCAAAACCTTCTTCTGTTCAGCAAAGATTGATTCATTTACAGTGTCTTTGTATAAAATAAAAAAGATATAGATTTAGATAGTTTTAGCACCTCAAAATTGTCTGAGTTCTCTGGGCCTTTAATTTTTCAAAAGTACAAAATTTGAGCCCCAGCAATAATTCATTCCTGGTGACGGGGCTGGTAGTAGCTATATAACTGTAGCCTACCATTTCTAATAGAAATTATATATCGGTAACATGGCCTGAAATTTCACATGAAGAATAGACCTTGTTATAAGTTTAAAGGTAAATTAGACTAGGATACAGGCTACAATTTTATTCTTAATAGTTTTCATTTCATTTCCAGGTAGTTATTGAAGGATGGAGACTATAATTAATGAGTTGAAAACTTTCCTAAAGTCAAAGAGTTCTGATTCCAGCGTAGACTTGAATCATCAGGTTTTAACAGTGAAGTTATCAGCCAGAATATTAATACCACGCGACATCCAGACTGAAATTATAGACTCTTCTGACTGGCTGCGAGAAATACAATTTTCAGATGTCAGTTTTCAGGAGGAAGGAAATGACACAGACTCTCAAAGATGCTTGGAATTCCATAATGGAGCCCAAAGTAAAAATATGATTCAGAGAGGTGAAGAAGTTCAACAATCAGAAGATGGAAAACATTTTGAAGCTCCTCCTTCAGATGCTCATCAACACCAAAAATTAGGTTTCAACAAGGAAATACCTAAGACTGAAGATAGTAAAATACCAGATAAGAGAATTTATGTTGATGTGGCTGATGAAGCATATTGTGTATTTAAAGAGGAATGTGTAATGGAAAATAATATTAATACAAGTGCTGATAACTCTGGAACTTCAGAATCTTTTGGAAATGCTGAAAGTAATGCCAAGAATGGCAGGAATGATGTTCCACTGGATGATGAAGAAGATTTTGCCTCCAGCATCATGGAGGATGAAGGTAAAACTGTTGATAGTGATGAAGGTAAAACTGTTGATAGTGATGAAGGTAAAACTGTTGATAGTGATGAAGGTAAAACTGTTGATAGTGATGAAGGTAAAACTGTTGACAGTGATGAAGATTGGGACCCAGATGAGAAAAATGAAACGAAAATCATGATAAGAAAAAAAAGAAAATCTCCTAGAGGGAAAAGAAACAAAAGTGTGGTTGTCATTAAAAATGATGAGGATTTTCCAGAAATTAAAAAGAAAAGAACAAGAAAAGATTTTTCCACAGAAAAATGTGAAGAATTGGAAACTTTGACAAAAGAATCAAAAACCAAACAAAGAAGATCAAGCAGAAAGAAAAGTCAAGTTGAAAAAGAAAATTCTGAATATGCAGATCATGATGAAATTTCGGAAAATAAGAAAGTTACAGTCAAAAGTAAGAAATCGGAGAAGAATAAGATATCTTGTGAATTTTGTGGTAACCAATTTGATCAAATTAGAGCTTTCAATATTCATCTAGATATTCATTCAAACAGATTGGAGACTACGAATTCTTCAGACGCAAAAGTTGATTCTGTGATGAGGTTAGATGTTAACCAAATTGAAATTTTGGAAGCAGAAATTGAAGAAAAGGGAGACGATTTAGGTAACGAGAATGAGATCATTGAAATCAAACTTGTGGAAGTATCTGAGGAAAATGGTTTGAAAGATGGTCAAGAAGATTTTCCTAGTGGTGAAGAACATCTAAACAACTCCGATGAAATGTTGAAGAAAGAAGACGATGTTTTGGAAACAAATAATTTAAGAGAACACATTAAACTAAAAAAAACTGAAATTCAGACCATTGTCAATTGCAGAACACAAAGTTTAAACTTGTCTCAAACAGTTGTGAAGAAGGACTATGATGTTCTATGCTGTTCTTTTTGTGAAAGAAAGTTTCGAGCCATCACCCAATATAATACACATATTCAAAGCCATTCTTCTGAGCGACCATATTCTTGTGATCAGTGCCAAGGATCTTACAAAACAGAAGAACATCTTAAAATACATAAAATCAATGTACATCATCAGAAAAGATTTCCTTGTCAATCATGTGATAAATCATTTAAGTATAAAATTTCTCTAGAAAGACATTTTACATCTAATCATAAATTAGTGAAGCCTCATATCTGTCATATTTGTGGGAAGGGATATTATTCTAAATCTAGTTTAGTGGACCATATTGCCAGACACTCGAAAGAGAAACCATATAAATGTAATGTATGTGATCAATATTATCATTCAGAGAAATTACTATCCCAGCATACAGTTCATCATTTCGCCTTGTTAAAACATCAATGTGATCAGTGTGGAAAATCTTTCAAAAACATGGGAAATTTACGGAGACATCTGGAACAACATGAGTCACAGCGGAAATATGTCTGTGAAATCTGTCAAATGGCTTTTACTTTAAAACGATATTATACTCGTCATAAGGTTATACATGACCCTCAGAGAACAGTTTACAAATGCGACGCATGCTTTAAGCAATTTGCAAATAAAACGAACTTAGATCGTCACAAGGTGACGTTACACAGTGATGCTAAACCATTCCAATGTGACGTCTGCTACAAGGCTTTTAAGTTAAAAACTCTTCTGGAGCAACATGCTAGGGTCCACAAAGAGGAAAAAGACTATAGTTGTAAATTTTGTAAGAAGAAATTTTCGTTTAACAGTAGTCTCCATTCTCATATTAAAAATCACCATAAGGACGAAATTATTTCCGAATCTAAAACTCCACAAGCTTCTTTTAAGTGTAAAATTTGTGAGAATCTGTTTTACTCCAAGTCAGCCTTGACTTCGCATTATAAATTTCATCAATCTTAATAAACAAATATATTGGGATGTGCTATCTAAATGGAAACTGATTTAGATGCGAGTAAAATTTCTTTAAAAAAAAATGTTTTCTAGCTTACTAATATATTTTGTGATGTGCCAACTAGGGGAAAGTGGGGAATAAAATGTTTTAATGATAAGATTTTTAAAAATTTGGGTATAGCTTGAATATTATCTTATTTTAAACATTCGTCACAAAATGTTCATTATTCTCTGAGCTAAGTAGGATGTAAAACTCCATTCATTTCATTCTCATGAGCTCAAATTCAGCGAAGAATTCAAGTCCTCAACTCACATTTGTCATGGTCAGGATTTATTTCCAAATTAAGTCAAAACTTAAATGCTGTAGATAATTTGCACCAAGTGGGTATCAGATTCTCATTTTTTAAAATTGTAAATATATTAGTATCAAATGATGAGTATAAATTATATTTTAGATTAGTTTGAAGATATAGATTGAGAATAAATGATGTTTATTACTCAATCTGATTACTATATATTTCTTACCTATTTCCATTTTATATCTGACCCCATTTAATTTAAGACTCCATTTCAGAGCTGGAGCAGATCTAGTTTTTCATGTCTTGACATTTTTAATCTGATTAAAATGCCAGCATGAGTTGAGTTATTTTCAAATATAAAAGGTGCCCATGGGACTAGCCACATTAAAAAGGTATTTATGTCTAGAGTATTGTGGTCGTCCACGTGATATAAGGCTACAGGATAAAATACACCATAAGGGTGGCCATATAAAACAGACTGAATGTAATTGTACCTGGACACATAAGACAAATCTTCATAATGTTCAAGATGTTTAATAGACAGACTAATAAAATAAAACACTGTATAAAGATAAGAAAGATCCTGTATATTGAGAAAAACTTACATTAGTAAAATATTAAAATTACAGAAGTCTAGCTAAATACATAATCCAATTATTGCACGATTTCAACTATATAACAAAATATCCAATTCAATCCATTAACAAGAAATTACACTCTTGTATGTGAAGTGAAACCTAACACTAGAAAATTTAGTTTGTAAAATGAACAGGATATAAAGGTGGAATAGTAATGAGATTAGAAGGTTGAGATAAATTATTAGATTCAGAAGGCGTAGTTTGATAATAAGATTGGTTAGTTGTCACAGTCTTACCACACGTTAGTTTATGAGTTTGTAAACTTTTATTATAAGTAAAAGCTTTATTACAGATATCACAAACAAATGGTTTCTCTCCATTATGAGTTCTCATATGAACTGTCATGTTGTATTTTTGACGAGATTGTTTTCCACAAATCTGACAAGTGTACGGCATCTCTCCTTTATGAATACGTTGATGACGTCGTAAATGTTGATGACATGAAAACAATCGGCCACATTGTGTACATTTATACGGTTTTATACCGGCATGCGTTAATAAATGATCTTTTAGAGACCGAACTCGTGGAAAACGTTTGCCGCATTCGTCACATTGAAACTTCTTCTCTTTTGTATGAACAATGATATGATTGTTGAGTTCGGCTCTGGTTCTAAATGAGTAATCACACTGGTCACATGAATGAGGTTTATGATCTGAATGAATAAGTTGATGGACTCTCAATGTACTCATTTGTGCATAGGACGTTCCACATAATTCACAAATATATGGTTTCTCACCAGTATGAGTTCGTATATGACCAATTAACGTACTAGAACTTTTAAAACTTACACCGCAATGATCACATTTGTAAGTTTTCTCTGGTAAATGAGCCTTCTCGTGCTGAATCAAATCTTTTTGACAAGGCAGAACAATGTGACACACTGAACACCCAAACGAACCATCATTCGGATGTCCAGATGAATGTTCATATAATTCTTCCTCAGTACGAAATCTACGAAGACATAGTTCACATTGATGCTCCAATTTAGAATGAACGCTGATTTTGTGGGCTTTCAGGGATTTCTGAAAATTAAAAGATTTATTGCAAATATCACAGTTAAAAGCTTGCTTGAAATTTTTGTGCATATTATTAATGTGATTGCTGAGATCAGAAAGTCTTCCGTAAGTTTTATGACAAACAGGACAGGCGTTAGTTTCTGAAATATTGTGATCATGTTCTTGAATATGTCGCGTTAGACTTCCTTTGAAACAAAATCGCTTCGAGCATAAACTACATTTGTGGGGTCGCCCATCAATAACATCTGGCTTTATATTACTCTTGGTAGAGTCCTTGTCTTTTTCTGAATTCTGCTTGAAATCTGAATTGTCAGCGAGATCTGTTTCCTCTTCCGAATCATCTTCTAAAGATCCAAACGTAATATTGACATCACTAGTTCCAGAGTCACGATCATTGTCTGAAACATCTTGGGAATTTTCAGGAGAGGAATTCCCACTGACACAATTATCAGGAACTGTAATTTTATTTTGATGTCGTGTTCTTAATCCACTCCTTGTAACTCTCTGTAGATCTTTCTTCACAGTCTTCAAAATTCTATCAGAATCTTTTTTAATTTTCTTGGAGTTGGCTTTGTTAAGTTTAGATCTTGATTGGAAATTGTCATTTTCTGTTTGATTTTCTGACTGTGTTTTGTCCACAGAAACTAACTGATTTTGAATTTCTGATGAAGGCTCAGCTTTAACATGGTTGATGTCCTTTGAAGAAGTGTGTGCTAACAGAACTGATACAGACTGACATAGATTTACTATTGTTTTATTAGTACTTCTACAATCATTGGATATCGTGTTACACACCTGAATGATCAGATTGCAGATTGGATTGTCTTTTATTTGATTTAGGAGATCAAAAATTTGTTGAAACGAATCACTTTGTCGAGAATAGTGAAAATCACAAGTTTCTGTTATCTGTTTAAGACAATATTCTGTTGTAAAATATGGAGGAATATCTGATATCTGTTCATATTGTTTTACTCCTTCATTTGGTATATAGATGTTAAAAGTTCCCTTGTCTGTTGATTTAGATGTCACCTCCATTCTATCTTCTCATACATCGTTCACTTCAATCTCAGTTAACTCAACAGGGTGTGAGATTTTTCTACATCTAAAAATAATAATGTTAATATAATTACAGCATAGTGAATAGCCAATGATTTCCTTCCATACTTAGTATAGAAAAACTCGACCAATGCTAAATACAAATGTCTAGCTTGCCTTAAACAATTATTACCAAGTGATATCACATCATGCTTATCTCATATGTTTAAAGCTTAGATTTCAACGTAATTTGTGTTTTCCCTCTGTGTTATTGAATTCGGCTGTGAAAAGACAAAACTAAACCAACTTTCACTTTGTCCAGTTCAATCATTCTGTACGCAAACAAAAGAGCATTGGAACACAAAGCATGGAATTTTATTCCACTACTGGAATTGTCATTTATATTTACCTCGGTGCTGGGGATTTTACAGATTTAAGTTTTAAGAAAATAATTCTTCATAATTCAATGTTTATGATTCACAAAATGTAAATAATGACCGTTTCCGGTTTAGAATTTGTCGATTATCCAGACACAAATATTATGGAAAAGACTGGACAATCTTATCAGGTAAATATTCATCCTTTGATGGATAGTGCCCCTGTGCTTTTATTTGAATATTTACCTTGCAAATGCTAAAATGGAACTGCTTCTTCAGATATTCTCCGGATATTTAAATCAAAAACAGTTATAGGAAGGTTAGAAATTTAGTCGTGTCCTTATTGAAAAGTTTGGAAGTAGAAATAAGGGTAGGGAAATAAGGTACAATCTGTCCAGTAGGGTAATTTTTTTGAGCTGTATCAAATATCTTCAATAAAATTGGTATATCATCTGTCATTGTTCTTTGGTTGTTCTTTCAGTTATCTAGGTGTTATAAGAGATACTCTCCTATAGAAGCACTGGCCTAGGTCACAAGAAGAGTCCACGAAGGTGAGTAATATCTTTTCTTAATTGCAGTCTGCTTACATGTCGTTGAACGTGAAATATCTCTCAAATCTGTAGTTTTTTAATATATCAGAACTTTTGTTTTCTAGGATTAGCCTATTTGAAGAATATAGAATTCTATGTCGGTATAACCCATAGCAACCAATGTTTAGACCATGTCCAATTTACATAATAACTGATAATGATCTATCATCTGTTAAGTCAGTGGTTCCCAACCTTTCTCAGCCTTCACCCCCTGGAGCTATCACCAGGACCTTTCACATCCCCAAAAATTTGTTTCATCCACATTTCTAGCATGTGATGATGTTAGGTGCTCTTTCAATTCAAAATAAATTCTTCTAATACACCAGTTGGCCACACCCTTGACACTCTTGTCCCACACCCCCAGTCTACAATCTTAATAATATAATTAAAATTTTGTTCATTTCAGATGTCAGGGGATGTAGATTACAGTAAGTTACCGTGTGTTGTTTGGGTGAACATCATGAAATATTTATCACTGAATGATCGTTATCAACTCTCTGTAACCAATAGATATCTGTACGAATATTTCAGCCATCCATCGCTATGGAGTAAAGCTTATATTAAAATGATTGGTGGATACACAAATTTTCACATCTGCTCAACTCTGATGTCAGACAAGTGCGTTAAACTGATACAAACCTTCGGCCATCTTTTTCAAAATCTTCATATTCAAATTGACGGCCATTTTGGACAGATGGAAGAGCAGCATAAACTTTTACTACAAAGCTTAGCCAAGAATTGTCGACTGCAAGTTCTGACTTTGGAAGTTGGTTTAATGATTTCAAGATTCCATCTGGAAGGAAACTTGCCTGAAAATGAAGACTTGGCATCCATTTTGCTTCTTGTTCAGAATGCAACACGTTTAAAGGAATTAAATATAATATCGTGGCCTATGTATCCTGCCTTACTACAGAATCCATCCTATAATATTTTTCAAGTCATGAAGAACAATGACAAAATAAAAAGTTTAGAATCTTTGAATCTGTTTTGGATGAAAGAATGTTCGTGGTCTGAAAGACATCCTATTCTTCCGTCTGCTAAATTCACTGAAAAAATTGTTCATAATTTTAAAAATTTGAAACGTTTGTCTCTACGGTCACCTATGTTGAGTGAAGAACTAATTATAGAATTGATCACACCAGGTCGAGCGAAACTAGATGTGCTGCAAATATTTATCACTTATTCAGCACATCATGAACAATATCAAATGCCACATATATCTGGTGAATCATGGGATGTATTAAAATCTGTTCACCCGACACTGGAAGTAGATTGTACGATAATGTCTCGGATTGGAGAAGATGTCTTAGGAATTCTATTAAAACCAGAAGTTCCTTTAAAATCACTCACTATATTAAGACATTCTAAATGTGGCTCAGAACTTCTTCTTCCCATCGCTGATAAATTTCACAATAATTTAAAATCATTTATATGTCACTGTGATGCCAGTGGTGTTGATGAACCTTTAGTTCAACTCGTTGCCTCATGTTCTTTACTCACCGAACTTGTCTTTTATGGAGAAATCTATGTCACTACTTTAATGAAATTGGCTGAATTTCGAGGAAAGGCGTGGAAAAAGTTTGTGTTTGTGGAGAAGAGTATTAAAACTGAGTTTGATGAAGATGGAGATGATGATGATGATGTTGTTTTAAAACAAGACTCTCACGGATCTTATCAACTCAAATCTCTACACAGATTCCACAGAGAAGATGAAGAACGAGACACTAAAATAGACAATTTAAACAAATGGATATCTGAAGTGATTGGTTTCCCTTGGAGACCCTTGGCAGCCATTGATTCTGAGAACCAGAGCTGATGATTTATTTGCGTTTATCAAATACAGAGATTTATTATTTTAAAGAACAAGGGCTTGCAGGGCAAGATAAGATTGGGCACTTCCCCTCCAATAGCAAGATGATAACTTAATTCCCCTCCAATAGCAAGATAATAAATTAATTCCCTTCTAATAGCAAGATGATAACTTAATTCCCCTCCAATAGCAAGATGATAACTTAATTCACCTCCAATAGCAAGATGATAAATTAATTCCCCTCTAATAGCAAGGTAATAACTCAATTCAACTCCAATACCAAGATAAGATAGGGCACTTCCCCTCCAATAGCAAGATGATAACTTAATTCCCCCCCAATAGCAAGATAATAAATTAATTCCCCTCTAATAGCAAGATGATAACTTAATTCACCTCCAATAGCAAGATGATAACTCAATTCAACTCCAATAGCAAGATAAGATGGGGCACTTCCCCTCTAATAGCAAGATGATAACTTAATTCCCCTCTAATAGCAAGATAATAACTCAATTCAACTCCAATAGCAAGATAAGATGGGGCACTTCCCCTCCAATAGCAAGATGATAACTTAATTCCCCTCCAATAGCAAGATGGGGCACTGTGTACCAGTAGCTATGTGGTCAGGTTCAAATTCAGCACAAAGTGGAAATGATAAAAACTACTTAATTTGAATAATAAAATATATATTTATTTATTTACAAATAATACAGAATTAAAATAAAGATTAAAAAACAAAGGATTTCTATTATTCTATTATTTCTATTTTTTAATCTGTGAATTTGACTACAAATAAAATTGTGAAAAAATGAGTGCAATAAAAAAAAATTATAAATTAAAAATAAGTCTATGTCTTACATAAACTAAATCCTACTTAAAAACCCCCAACACAACATAGCTACTTGATTTATATTATATGAACATAATTAACATGTGAAATGACAATACAATACAGACAATGGTGTTTCTAGGAAACATTAGTTGAGAGGGCCGAGCAGGGGTCACAAAAATTTTTAGGAAGGCCACAGGCTATTCTTTTACTATATAAAATGATAAAAGAAATTGAAAGAAACACCATTGTAAACATGTTAATGATATTACAATGTTTTTGAGCACTTTATAAAGACACTTGTCCCTCTTTCATTCTATACTGATTTTATCAAACACAGGTTTTACTGTAACCTAAAAATATAGAATAAAAACACAGGTTTTACTGTAACCTAAAAATATAGAATAAAAACACAGGTTTTACTGTAACCTAAAAATATAGAATAAAAACACAGGTTTTACTGTAACCTAAAAATATAGAATAAAAACACAGGTTTTACTGTAACCTAAAAATATATATTAAAAACACAGGTTTTACTGTAACCTAAAAATATATATTAAAAACACAGGTTTTACTGTAACCTAAAAATATATATTAAAAACACAGGTTTTACTGTAACCTAAAAATATATATTAAAAACACAGGTTTTACTGTAACCTAAAAATATATATTAAAAACACAGGTTTTACTGTAACACTGTAACCTAAAATTATATATTAAAAACACAGGTTTCACTGTAACCTGAAAATATATAATAAATGTGTAGGTTTTTTCGTCAAATATTTATCTTAAAAGAGCTTAGTATAGTCCTTGCCCATTTTTCAAACAAGACTTCAAATGTGCTGAAACATGGTGCACACGGCTGAGACAGGTTGCACAGTGTTCTGAGTCAGAACTTCTGTCATTTTGATGCTTTCCAACTTTCTGTAGTGCTCAATTATGATATACTGAATTTATATATTATGGTACACTATGTTTCAAAAAGCTTCACAGTGTTTGAACTTTCTACACTAAAACAATTAATTAAATAAATTCATACCATAGGGAAAAAATCTCAGTATCATTTCAGTTGTAGTATTCATTTTTAATACCTTCACTGCCTATAAGAAAAAAACAAATACCATATTCCAAATTATTCCCCTTAAAGTTCTTGACAAGACGCAGTTAACTATGAGCTGTTACTTTTCTCAAACAATATTTTCATCTTTCTCATTGAAATTTTCACATCATATTCTAATCAAATTGAAGATATTCAACACATATGTACTGAGTTTATTTGTAGATGTTATTCATACAATGTTTTGCCCATTTTGACCCCATTTTCTAACCAAATTGAAGAAACATAATGAATAATATGATATTTCTCAAAAAGATGATTAAGGTTGGGTTTAAGTAAAAATTTCTTACCTCAGAATGTTCAATTTCTTGAAAATCAGTTTCATTTACACTTAATATCTAAAATATAAAATTATAATATCATATATATATATCAGTAATATTAGGATTCTCTTTAAGATTCTCTTGGTAGGGTGGGCTATAACAACAGATTAAATCTCAAACTACAAGTATTATTATTATGTCTGCTGGTGAACTCCTTCATTGCAAGCTAGGATTCATTTCATTGGAATCACAAGACCCACAAATATCTAACACAAAATTGCAAATGTGTAAATTTATGCTATCAGTGTACCTGATAAACAGAAAAAGTTTATAAAATTCCTTTACAATTCCTTTAAAAGTGTTTTCATGCTTAAAATAAAATTTACAGACAATATATTCTTACTTGATCAGCCTCTTTAACACCCAATCTTGCTGCCTCACTCCCGGGCATTACCTGACAGGTAGAAAGTTATAATTGATAAATTTCTATTAAGGTTTTGTACTTTGCATTTACAAAAGGACAAAAGTTTTAAATACATGTTTCAAGGTCTTTCAATTTGTGCTAACAATTATCATTTGATAAAAAATACCATTAATCTAACACAATGTACACATCTAATTTATTTTGAAATGATATAGAATATATTCTACCTTTGATACATAAATTCCACAGTAATGTTCTTTTCCACCTCTGATGTTAAAACCCAACTAAAAAATAAAACAAAATTACTAATTATCTTCACTCTTAACTGAATATTTTTAATATATATATATAAGCTTACAGTATCCTGAAATAAAAATCTGTACGAGTAAAACAATTCCAGTAACCATAACTCTCGTTCAAAGCCCAACAAAATCAGAATAATTATTGTATAGTAGTGGACTCTAACGAGAAGTATCATCAGGTGTTCTTTTGAAACAACTGTTTGACTGGAGAAGTCAGAGGCTATAAGATTGTGGGTGGGTCTACACTGAACGGACTAGCAAGGCTATCAGAAATTTTAGTTGTAACCATTAAGGGGCTATGGACCTACCAAGCCTCATCAACTGGGAGACCACTAATGTTTATCAAACTTGATACAAATTGCCTTGGGCCAGTGTTTTTTCAAACCAACTTCATCCAGATTGAATTCTCTAAGCATCATGTATCTGAATCCATTCAGGCAGCGAAACATAAGCATCTGTAGACCTCCTTACCGGTTCTGTTAGGTGAGTCCTCACCATGGTTACTCGTCTGGGTAAAAAATCTTTCACATTACCAATATAGTCTGGATGATCTAGTCTCTACAATTATATATTTTAAAGGAATAATAATTTGTGACCAAAATGCAAAATGATAATTTTACTGGAAGTCGGGGAAAATGGAAAGCTACTGTAATACTCAACAACAAAGACTTAACAATAGCATGAATCACTCAATCAATAGACTTAACAAAGTTGATCATCAATATCTCCTAATCTTCATAATGGGTCTAATTGATGGGTTGATATGAAAACTTGTGGGAATTGTGGTCTGAATCCAATGTTGACAACACCTAAAATAACTGTTTCGATTATTTGGAGATTTATAGCAAATTTTACCTGACTTGGAGGAACGTAAGGGGGTGGCGGTTCATATGGCGGAAGGACCATGTTTTTGGTAACATTTTCAATAAAACTCATTTCAATAATCATAAAATTGTCACAAATTCTCAATTTGTTTACAAACTCTTCAAGGGGAACAACTCGAAGTCTTAATACTCGCGACTTACATTTTTACCCAAGATTCCTGCGCGCTAACCTCTCTACTTCCTTTTACAATTAATCGCCGAAAATGGCTGTAGGCAAGGACAAGAGAGTCCAAAAAGGAAGCCGTAAAGGAGGCAAAAAGAAGGCGTAAGTTGATAAAAGTTTCTTTAATTGTGAAATGAATTATTTATCTTCTAGTATATATACACTAAAAGCGCGATGCCCACTAAAATTAGAGATATTCAACCGATTGTCACTAGCTTGTCGCGTCAACTCGGCATGGTGTTGTTTACGTTTCATCCAGCAGGACTCTAAAACTTGCTAATGAAATGTCTTGAAACTATGTAGCTCATTCTGCGAAACATATTGGTTTTCACAATGGCTATGCAATGGAAAATAGTTGATCTGTTCCGCATTCTCCAATCCACAAGAATCAAGATGGTGTTGAATATTGAATGTGAATATCTTTTTCAGAGCTGATCCCTTCTCCAAGAAAGAATGGTACGATGTCAAAGCTCCATCTATGTTTGCTGTCCGCAAAATTGGTGTCACCCCTGTCACCAGAAGCTCTGGAACAAGTATGTTATTACTTTATTGGGTCAGGTAGACCAGATTCGTATTTAGCTTAGGTAGAGTCTAGGTATCAGAATGTGAAAGCCATCAACGGACAGACTGTAGGAAGCACTGCCCACAGGCATCAGAATTTCTTACCTTGAGGTTTCGAACCAACTACACATTATTTCCTAGAAGACGACAATCTAGCTAGCTACCGACTGAGATATTGCACATAGCTTTGATTTGATATAAGCATTTTAGTTACTGACGATGTCATGTCAGCCAGAACTTTTAAAATATGCCTCAATAGAGGGGATGCCGGTTTAGACAGGCTCTACTGTATATACTGTTGTATATTGGCCACGTGGAGTTTTTCATTTTTTTATTTTTCAAATCTTTTTCAGAATTGGCTGCTGACAGTTTAAAAGGTCGTATGTTCAAGGTTTCCCTTGCTGATCTCCAGAATGATGAAGTTACATTCAGAAAATTCCGATTATTAGCTGAAGATGTCCAAGGAAAAAATCTGTTGACAACTTTCCAAGGGATGGAACTGACAAGAGATAAACTTTGTTCAGTTGTCAAGAAATGGCAGGTATGACTGACGAAATAAAACATTAGTTGCTAATTTCTCTGTACAAACTAAGTTTAATGATGATATTCCAGTTCTGCTACTGAAAATGGCATGAAAGACACTATACCAAATAACTGAAAACTTAGTATAATTTATACCATCTACTGTTTCGATTATCCAGCTCCGGGCTCTTTTATTATAGCTTTAGAATTACTCAAAAGTTTTTGATACTTAAATGCCTTAATGGACTAAAAAAAAAAAAGCGTACATATCATTGATGTCAATTATAGGTTTGCATTGCCAAAGTAATGTTATTTGGATATGAACATATGAATATAAAGTCTTGCAATCGTGTCCTTTTTTGAATCATTTGAAATTTTACTTGCTATACTGATGTTCATATTGAACTTGACCTACCAAGTGAAGAAGGGATATACCCTCTGTAATGATCAATAGCTAAAGCAATGTAACCTTCTAGTCTTGTTATAGGGACATATTTGTTATGAAAGCAAGATGAATACAGTTATATGATTAACATTGAAATTTGATTTCAGACTATGATTGATTCAAGAGTAGATGTTAAAACAACTGATGGTTATCATCTCCGTGTATTCTGTATTGGATTCACCAAGAAACGACCAAATCAAGTCAAGAAAACTTGTTATGCCCAGAGACAACACGTAGGTATTACAGGTACTTTTTAAAACAGAAAGGCTATGTTTGATCATCAACTCAATCTATATTGGTGTATTTTAAATGATTTATCTAAAGTTTTATTTGTCATCTAAATTAGAATGGTGAATGTAATTTTATATTAGCTCTTGAATGGAATTGTGTGGAAATACTATTAGTAACAGGCCTGATGCAAATTATTACTTTAGTTAGACAAAAGAGGTCTTGCAAATGAATTGTCTTGATTCAGTATGCTGAAATAAGTACACTCTGTATGTGCAGTGTTGATCATTTTAGATAATAATTTTTCTATTACATTATATCATGTAGGTATTTAAAATCCGAAAGAAGATGGAAGATATTATGAGAAAAGAAATCACAGCTATTGATATGAGAGAGGTCATTAATAAATTGTAAGTTATCTTGATTAAATTTCTTATCTTTCAAGAGAATCTTAATACAACATTGTGATATTTTGTAGAGTGTCAAGGCTTCCAATCTTAGTAATACAACTGGTGACATGGACACAATTGACTTTAAAACTTTCACTTGTTAAGAAAAACTTCTACAGATCATTACTAACTTGCCAGTAAGGTTAAAAATATGTTTTGCATAAAAATTTCAGTACAATTGTCATTGTTTTTGTGATAGACATTTCTAGTATCAAGAAACCCTGCCCTGTCTTTATTATTTACATGACTGTTAAAATGTATTGTAAATTATTTCAGAATTCCTGATTCTATTGGAAAGGATATTGAGAAGGCCTGTCAAGGTATCTTCCCTATTCATGAAGTTTATATCAGAAAGGTCAAAATCCTCAAGAAACCAAAATTAGATTGTAAGTAGAAGGCTTGTATTATTTAGAGTATGTTATTATAGTATTGAAATGAGGACCTGATAGATAGCTATTTGTAGTGCTTGTGTTAATATTTTCTTTCTAAGGAGATTAAGAGTTCAGGTTCATGGAATGAAATGAGCGTCGTAACTTATCTCATAACTTCTGTTTAACTAGGTGAATAGTTATCGCCTTCAAATCATATTCCCAGTTGGTTTATGGTGGCAAGGGCTTTCCCTTTTTGTTTAATCTACCTATATTGTGTTATAATTTCAGTTGCTAAATTATTGGAAATGCATGGTGAGAGTAATGCACCAGCTACTGTAGCAGCTCCTGTTGTTGAAGAAAGTGGTGAAAAAGTTGAACGACCTGATGGTTATGAACCACCAGTGGCTGATGCTGTCTAAATAAATAAAAAAAATGAACTGAAATCAAGCTTTTCTTTTTCTTTAGTCCAACAACATCTTGAAATGTTCAAAACACCATGCAATACTTGTCTTTATTAGCTGAAAAGTAACATGTAAATTCCTTTCATGCTCTATTCAAGCAAAGATATTTGGACTTATATGGGTACAATTCATAACATAGCTGTCCACAATATTATAGAGGTGCAAATCTTTACTCCACTATATAACATTGGATTTGTTTTTACATCCATCAAGATATACTGTGTCAACTTTGACTTATTACACGATCTCGACCATTCTTACATCTTATAGTTATGTCATAGCCATATTAAAAAGAACTTTTGTTTGCAAATTACAGCACAGACTGATTATTATTTCATCACTAGAAGGTCCCTTCCCCAATTCACATCAAATCGATAAAATTTGTCATTTATTTTAAAATCAGTAACAATTATAAAAAATATCTCACAATTAGTATAATTAATATCAAGGAAATTAATATTGATTATAAACCATGTTAAAATATACTAATAGCCCAATTATTATTGCAATAATATCAAATTAAACAATTCATTCTGCTAAAATCAAAATAATACATAAAAAAAAAATGAAAGTTTCACAGCCTAATATTCACCGTTTTTAAAATAAAGATTATCATTACTATAGCTATCTTGTAACAGTCGCTTCTATTTGATCCATTGTGATTTCTTGGAAAACTTAGTCTAACAAATCTAGCCATTCCTGTTAAAGTAATACAGTGATGGAATATTGGCACGTATAAGAAATAATACTGGTTCATCCAATCAAATTAAATTATTTCCCTGTAGAATTGTATATGGATTTCTTTTAATATCTAAGTTTTAAGCATCACTCTGAAAAATAGAAATGTAGATATATTTTAACATGCCCTGCGTAACAATGATAAAAGAAACCACACAGTTCCGAGATTATAGAATTGATCAAGGATATAATGATCTAAATATTTCACCACATGAACTATTTTCAGACTATCAGCCTCTACACTCTATTCTTTCTGGCACTCAACATAAGTCTGTCTACCGTTATTGAGTTTTGAGATGATCTACCACACTGATATTATAGACTGGTCAGTAAGATACTCACATTATCAACTTGTGTTAAATGTCTATTAATATCTTCAGATTTTATATCTAATAAGGCATCATTTAAAGATAGATATAAACAATCACCATGTTTCTCAGTAAAACCAGTCTTACAAAATGTCTCATATACTGGACCTATAGAAAACAAATTTTGACACCCTGCATTATTGACTAGGGAAGATTTTAAACAATTTACCCTGCATTATTGACTAGGGAAGATTTTAAACAATTTACCCTGCATTATTGACAAGGGAAGATTTTAAACAATTTACCCTGCATTATTGACTAGGGAAGATTTTAAACAATTTACCCTGCATTATTGACTAGGGAAGATTTTAAACAATTTACCCTGCATTATTGACTAGGGAAGATTTTAAACAATTTACCCTGCATTATTGACTAGGGAAGATTTTAAACAATTTACCCTGCATTATTGACTAGGGAAGATTTTAAACAATTTGTGGACATGTATATGGGTTATTATGATGGAATTATATTTGATTATATCTGTACTTAGTTAAATGCGAGGTGCTGTTTGCTCCAAATTATCTGGTTTACAAAATCAATGACAAGACTTCTGAATATAAGATAAACAAAATATATATAATATATAAAAAACAGAATCTTGAAACCGAGAAATAATCTTACCTGAAACATTTGTAATCAAAACTTTTATACTTAATGATTCAAATTCACGTATAATCTATAAATAGATAAGAAAGAGTTTTAATTGTTAACAAATTTCTGACAGACATGCCAAAATGATAAACCTGCAAGAATAATCTTGCCCAGTCTCACATATAACACTTATTATACATTCATTCAAAGATCATCTATAAATTAGCTTGAAGTATAAGAGATAAGACTGAAAGAGCGAAATAAGGGAAAACTTACTAATTGTATTGCACTTGTCCCCATAATATCAACAAAACTAACAGTCGAGATGTCTAATATTATATATTTTGGTAGGGATGGTTCATTGTGGATTTCTAACATAACATTTCTACCATCTTCTGGTTTTAATTCTATAATTTCTCTCCTGATTATACTTTCACCATTTTCTACCTGGAAACAAAAAAAAAATTCATATATTTATTACATGAAAGGATCCTTCCAGGCTTATTCAGTCATTAAAACTTGCTGGTTCCATGTCAGAAACTGGGACTTGCAATCACTGACTAGGGAAAAAATTCTACCATGGACCCACCAGGTTAGCAGCCATTGTTGCAACCTGTGGGGCATGAAGCCTTGACTTATTGTCCAAGCCAGCCCATTAGACGCTGGTTCCATATCAGAACCTGTGACTTGCCTTAATTGACTTAAGGGAAAAATTCTGCTATGTAACAGACACAGTTCTACTTACATTGTTAGAGTTATTAACATCTATTAGTGTCTCTTTGGCTTTATTTTTCAACTTCTTCTGTTCTTGTATAGGATTAATATTGGAATACTTGAAAACTTTCTGAACAAAAATATCAGAATTAGCGAAACAGATGGGCTTATTGATATGTAATATTTTGATATCTGATGACAGTTGAACCTGAAAATAACAAAAATGTTTTTTATTGAGCTGGATTCAACTATTTAAAGTTTTATTGTAGAGAGTTCACATTGTTAATGACATTAAAATGTCATTATATTATAATGTTTTTTTATTATAAAGATTATATAGTAATTCACCCAGGGTTTTCGATCATGATTTACAGAGGATGTGGTTTACAGAAAATGGGGTTTACAGAGGATGCGGTTTACAGAGGATGTGGGGTATCGATTTAGACTGGGTGGTGTTGAGGGGTAACACAATATATAGAAATCAAGAATACATACACAATGATAATGAGATCCTGCTCTAGTTTGTTGAGTTCCATCTATAATACCTTTTAATGTAACAGGGGACCTATAACAGAATAAAATCTATAAATGAAAAACTAAGGTCTGTAAAACATTCAACTTTTTAACTTGTTCAACTTTTTCATTAAGTTACTAGGTTCAACCATCAGTAAATTAACATCCATTACAACTGGATTTTGAGGGGTGCACATTATATGATATAGTAAGTAGACTTACTGTTGTGTGATAATTATAATAAGTAAGAAAGAGACAGCTATTCCAGCTAATAAACCTGGTATCACATCAACAAATACAGCTACTAGGAAAGTTACCAGCCATACCGTCTACAATATAAATAGATAAATAGAAGTGTTAATAGTTAGGTATAGAAGTATTAGATATTTGGATATACCATTTATACTACTTCTAACATTTATTAACTCAACATTTCACATGTTCATACAGACAGTGTTATCAAATATTATAAAGAATCACTAGATATACAGATATACTATTTCTAACATTTATTAACTCAACGTTTCACATGTTCAAACAGACAGTGTTATCAAATATTATATAGAATCACTAGATATATAGATATACTATTTCTAACATTTACAACTCAACGTTTCACATGTTCAAACAGACAGTGTTATCAAATATTATAAAGAATCACTAGATATATAGATATACTATTTCTAACATTTATTAACTCAACGTTTCACATGTTCAAACAGACAGTGTTATCAAATATTATAAAGAATCACTAGATATATAGATATACTATTTCTAACATTTATTAACTCAACGCTTCACATGTTCAAACAGACAGTGTTATCAAATATTATAAAGAATCACTAGATATATAGATATACTATTTCTAACATTTATTAACTCAACGTTTCACATGTTCAAACAGACAGTGTTATCAAATATTATAAAGAATCACTAGATATATAGATATACTATTTCTAACATTTATTAACTCAACATTTCACATGTTCATACAGACAGTGTTATCAAATATTATATAGAATCACTAGATACATAGATATACTATTTCTAACATTTATTAACTCAACATTTCACATGTTCATACAGACAGTGTTATCAAATATTATATAGAATCACTAGATATATAGATATACTATTTCTAACATTTATTAACTCAATGTTTCACATGTTCATACAGACAGTGTTATCAAATATTATATAGAATCACTAGATATATAGATGTACTATTTCTAACATTTATTAACTCAACGTTTAACATGTTCATACAGACAGTGTTATCAAATATTATATAGAATCACTAGATATATAGATATACTATTTCTAACATTTATTAACTCAACGTTTCACATGTTCAAACAGACAGTGTTATCAAATATTATATAGAATCACTAGATATATAGATGTACTATTTCTAACATTTATTAACTCAACATTTCACATGTTCAAACAGGCAGTGTTATCAAATATTATAAAGAATCACTAGATGTATAGATATACTATTTCTAACATTTATTAACTCAATGTTTCACCTGTTCATACAGACAGTGTTATCAAATATTATATAGAATCACTAGATATATAGATATACTATTTCTAACATTTATCAACTCAACGTTTCACATGTTCAAACAGACAGTGTTATCAAATATTATAAAGAATCACTAGATATATAGATATACTATTTCTAACATTTATCAACTCAACATTTCACATGTTCATACAGACAGTGTTATCAAATATTATAAAGAATCACTAGATATATAGATATACTATTTCTAACATTTATCAACTCAACGTTTCACATGTTCAAACAGACAGTGTTATCAAATATTATAAAGAATCACTAGATATATAGATATACTATTTCTAACATTTATTAACTCAACGTTTCACATGTTCATACAGACAGTGTTATCAAATATTATAAAGAATCACTAGATATATAGATATACTATTTCTAACATTTATTAACTCAACACTTCACATGTTCATACAGACAGTGTTATCAAATATTATATAGAATCACTAGATATATAGATATACTATTTCGTTTCACATGTTCATACAGACAGTGTTATCAAATATTATATAGAATCACTAGATATATAGAAATACTATTTCTAACATTTATTAACTCAACACTTCACATGTTCATACAGACAGAGTTATCAAATATTATAAAGAATCACTAGATATATAGATATACTATTTCTAACATTTATTAACTCAACATTTCACATGTTCATACAGACAGTGTTATCAAATATTATAAAGAATCACTAGATATATAGATATACTATTTCGTTTCACATGTTCATACAGACAGTGTTATCAAATATTATATAGAATCACTAGATATATAGATATACTATTTCTAACATTTATTAACTCAACATTTCACATGTTCATACAGACAGTGTTATCAAATATTATAAAGAATCACTAGATATATAGATATACTATTTCTGTATTTATTAACTCAACATTTCACATGTTCATACAGACAGTGTTATCAAATATTATATGGAATCACTATATATATATATACTATTTCGTTTCACATGTTCATACAGACAGTGTTATCAAATATTATATGGAATCACTATATATATATATACTATTTCGTTTCACATGTTCATACAGACAGTGTTATCAAGAGAAATGATTTATTGTGTTATCATATTCGTGTTTATATTTTGGGGGTCACATGAATTTATGAATTCTTATAAATAAATAGAAAACAGTAATAATAAATACATTTGTCCATCCACTATTTAATTAGGCTTCCTATTGAAATGAAATGTAAATTATGTCTGCAACTGTTGAGCTGTTGAACTGTTAAAAAGTTAAAAAGATACTTACAAAGTCTGTTTTTGATTGTCGACGAAGTGGATTTAGTTGTGTTAATTTCCAGAACATTCCTCGTAAATTAACACAAATAATAGCTGCTAATACACACTGAAATATATCAATACAAATAATAGCTGCTAATACACACTGAAATATATCAACACAAATAATAGCTGCTAATACACACTGAAATATATCAACACAAATAATAGCTGCTAATACACACTGAAATATATCAACACAAATAATAGCTGCTAATACACACTGTAATATATCAACACAAATAATAGCTGCTAATACACACTGAAATATATCAACACAAATAATAGCTGCTAATACACACTGAAATATATCAACACAAATAATAGCTGCTAATACACACTGAAATATATCAATACAAATAATAGCTGCTAATACACACTGTAATATATCAACACAAATAATAGCTGCTAATACACACTGAAATATATCAATACAAATAATAGCTGCTAATACACACTGAAATATATCAACACAAATAATAGCTGCTAATACACACTGAAATATATCAACACAAATAATAGCTGCTAATACACACTGAAATATATCAACACAAATAATAGCTGCTAATACACACTGAAATATATCAACACAAATAATAGCTGCTAATACACACTGAAATATATCAACACAAATAATAGCTGCTAATACACACTGAAATATATCAACACAAATAATAGCTGCTAATACACACTGAAATATATCAACACAAATAATAGCTGCTAATACACACTGAAATATATCAACACAAATAATAGCTGCTAATACACACTGAAATATATCAACACAAATAATAGCTGCTAATACACACTGAAATATATCAACACAAATAATAGCTGCTAATACACACTGAAATATATCAACACAAATAATAGCTGCTAATACACACTGAAATATATCAACACAAATAATAGCTGCTAATACACACTGAAATATATCAACACAAATAATAGTTGCTACTGTTGCATTGATACCTGAGAACTAATCCATGCTGCTGTGACCAAACTTAAACTTGCTACTAACTGAGAAATCCCATTGTCCAGAAGTAGTACTATTCTCCAGGACGTAAATAGTGCTGGCATGATATATCTATGCATCTTGAAGTGTTACTTTTTACCTAATAAACGGCATTGTAGTCCCTGGATACATTTCATGTTGGTATTCAAAAGATAAGGAAGAAATGGCGGTACTTACTAATGGTAGATGAAAGAAATACGGAGCTAAAACAACAATAACTAATAATACAATAGAACACGCTACTAATGACTGGAACTGAAATATAATTAATATAATAAATAGTTTACTACGTAACTCATTAGCTGAATACCAAACCTGTGCTATACGCACCAATTTATAGACCAGTTTTTGTTAATATTTATATCATAGTTGTAATGAAGAGTTGATATTAGAACAAGGATTATGCCTGCTTTTGACAACCCTCAATTTAATCCAATTTCATTCTTACCAAGCTGGCTCATTCTCCCACCAACTTTATGAAATCATTCTAGACCTCTGGTTATGGCCATTTTTACTATGACCACATATTTACCTGTGTTTTGGCACCAGCTCCATTAACAACCACACTTCTAGAGACAGACGCTGCCGTAATATAACCAGAAAATAACGAACATACAACATTGGCGGCGCCACAAGCAAACATTTCCTACAAATACAGTAGATATTTATAATGACTAAATATAATATATCATAAAAATAATAAACTACATGAGATATCAGGATATTATATTACAATGTAATAAATAGATATATCTATAATACCTCCACTCATAACAACCAATAGTTCACAAAGGAAACAACCAATAGTTCACAAAGAATCAACCAATAGTTCACAAGGAATCAACCAATAGTTCACAAGGAATCAACCAATAGTTCACAAGGAATCAAACAATAGTTCACAAAGAATCAACCAATAGTTCACAAGGAAACAACCAATAGTTTACAAGGAATCAACCAATAGTTTACAAGGAATCAACCAATAATTTACAAGGAAACAACCCATAGTTCACAAGGAATCAACCAATAGTCACAAGGAATCAACCAATAATTCACAAGGAATCAACCAATAGTTCACAAGAAATCAACCAATAGTTTATATATAAATTCATTTTCTCATCACTGAATTCTTTCATGGAAAAAACCCTATGACTAGACAAGTTAGCTGGACAGACGCAGGTCACATTATTAAGTGTAAGCTTATATAAATATCATAATAAGCCTTGTTTATCAAGTCTTACCTGATCAGGGTTGATTTCGTATTTATGCATCAAACCAAATGTTTTAGCTAGAGCTACAGTCTGGGCGTAAGAGACTACAGCTATCAGTATACCGTCACCGAGATAGTCGGTAGCTAGAGTTAAACTCGGTACTTTAGGAACTGGGATACTGAAATTATAAAAGATAGTGGACCACAGCCATATACGCCCACCACGGCCTGCGGATGGTAAGGGCAATAACTCTGCTTCTAACGGTCGAAAATAGCTCAAATTCTAACTTGATCTTGATTCCATCAAAAAATCTAATTTTTAGAGCATTTACAAGCAAATGTTGACGGACGGACGGACGGACGGACGGACGGACAGACAGACGGAAAGGGGTGCCGACAATATACATCCACATAGAGAGATGTGGGCGTATAAAAACCATGACTTTTGACAAAAACTCACTTCAAGTTTCTGAGATCTATTTCTGATATAACTTCATTAACAGGACTGTTAGTAAGTAAATAGTTGTCAACTGTTAAATATTACAGTACAGTGAGCTAGCATGCTCATCTTCAATCTTAATATTGGAATGTTAACCCCCAACTTCCACAACCAGCTGTCCTATTGAAGATTCATACCTAGAGTAAAATCTACAATAAGAGATGATCAAATATACATATAAGGGAATATGGAATTATTTAGCTGAATGTTGGGACCAGGGATACAGTAGATGTAGTAAAATAAAAGCCTTTTCTTACCCTTTAGGTATGGATTTTACTATTTTAACATCATATTGTTCATTTAAACCAATATAATAAGAAGCCAATGTTCCAAAGATTACCTAAAATAGAAAACCAGTTTTAGAACTCTATTTTTCCAAATACATCATATTTATTGGACTCCACAGGAAAGAAATGTGTTTAAATGAAACATACCATAATAAGTTCTATTAGAATAGAGATACATACCTCAATAAGTTCTATTAGAATAGGGATACATACCATAATAAGTTCTATTAGAATAGGGATACATACCACAATAAGTTCTATTAGAATAGGGATACATATCATAATAAGTTCCATTAGAATAGGGAAACATACCATAATAAGTTCTATTAGAATAAGGATACATACCATAATAAGTTCTATTAGAATAGGGATACATACCATAATAAGTTCTATTAGAATAGGGATACATACCATATTAAGTTCTATTAGAATAGGGATACATACCATAATAAGTTCTATTAGAATAGGGATACATACCATAATAAGTTCTATTAGAATAGAGATACATACCATAATAAGTTCTATTAGACTAGGGATCTTACCATAATAAGTTCTATTAGAATAGAGATACATAGAGATACATACCATAATAAGTTCTATTAGACTAGGGATCTTACCATAATAAGTTCTATTAGAATAGAGATACATAGAGATACATACCATAATAAGTTCTATTGGTATTGGAATCTTCATTTTGTTTTTAAACCGATCATTAATCTGAGCTTTCACCAGATAAATTATAATAATACATAATATCCAGGTTATAAGAGTGGCTATATTCGCTTCCGTTAAATGAGCACAGACATTATACCACGTCTAGAAAATAGTTATTCTATTTCATTACTAATATTAATATCATTTTTCAGAATATAATTTACAACAAGGGCAATCACTCATAACAAGTATATCTCAATTTTTCTGATTTTCAATAGGGTTCATCTTTGAGTGATACTTTAAAATAATTAATTTTACCTGTGCTTATGAAATGTTGAACCAGGGTAACAAAAGTATGTACCTATGAAAGGATATTTCAGTCCATGTCAAGACCTCTCCTAATCCAAAGATTTATCTCATTTTCTGTTAATGAAAGTTTTAAAACGCACCTTTGGTAATTTAAATAATCCAGTCTCTCTCTCTAATTTTAAACCCAGACCATTTTTAAGTTGACTAGTAAAAACATGAATAGAAACACCAACAGTAAAACTTGTTATTAGAGAGTTGGACATAAAACATGTCACAAAACCCAGTCCTAGCTTGGATAGTAATATCTGAAATATACATCAAAATAAATACATGTACACACATACACAATATCAAAACTACAATTCACACAATGATTAGGAATATTAATGGCACAATACAACTGTTATCTTCAACCATTTCAATAAGCCAGTAGTTTGGATATTGAATTGAGTTTTTTCTCAGGGTGACTCTACTTGTCATGACAACATCCTCTCCCTACGAGTCTGTCTCAATGTCCTATAACTATAGAAGAAATAAACGTACAGTTATCATACCAACTATAAACGTAACAGAACACGCTACGTCAATACGTTTAGTCTGTATATCAGATATAATACCATTATCTATATCAGTTGTATTACTGATAGTGGAATTCATCACGGAATAGAGAACTGAATTCACAGATTTAATATTAGCATCATATAAATCTAATACGTCTGCCATCATTAAACTTAACACTGCTATACAACCTGTAATAAAAACAGTTAGAATAAAATATATAATTACAAGTTACTTATTTACAGTTTTTAAGTCTCAATATTAGATATTTTTATTCACAGCTAATTTATACTTACCCATAGAAATTTGATGACAAGTTCCGAGGAAGAAGTAGGTTAATGGAGCAAACAAAGAAATATAAAGACCTACAATTGGAGGTAGTGTAGACAAGGCACCAAATGCCATTCCTGAAATAAAACAATCAGTCATTAAAATCTGGTTCTGGGTCAAATTAGATCAGTTGTTGTCATCTTTCAGATTTCCAAACTTCTGATTGCTTGGTTATTTGTTATTGATTTGCTATACTAGTTTTTAGTTTGATACATATTTAAATATTTGAATTTCATCTCAGCAATTTTATCATTTTACCATCAAAGACATATAGCCTATATATTTTAAGATAAATAGTGGAAAAATATCCCTTCATTGCTTCTGTCTGCAAGGGAGTGATAAATATAAATCACCCAACCCCTACACATCCCCTGGTCTATCCAAACCAACACAGCCCCTGGTCTATCCAACCCCACACAGCCCTTGGTCTATCTAACCTCCACACAGCCCCTGGTCTATCCAACCCCTACACAGCCCCAGGTCTATCCAAACACACACAGCCCCTGGTCTATCCAAACCCACACAGCCTATGGTCTATCCAACCCCCACACAGCCCCTGGTCTATCCAATCCCTACACAGCCCCTGGTCTATCTAACCCCACACAGCCCCTGGTATAAATGTTTTACCTTGTGGAATCATCATGGCACCCGCTGTAGAACCAGCTATTAAATCAGGCATCAAATTAGATCTTTTATAATTCCGTAACATAGTTATAAAAGGGAGGTTACTCAAGAATATCTTTTTAGCACTGGTTCTCTCCCTTTTTCTTCTCACCCATGTTTTAAATCGTGTACATAACGTGAGTTTTTCTAGATCTTTCTTATACTCATTTTCAAATTCCACAAGTCTTCTATGTGGTCTTTCCATTTTAGTTTTCTTTTCATTGGTTTTTGATGGGTTGTTTTTCTGTAAATATCAATAAGCATCTTTGATTAAGGATGGAAATGAACTAATTATGTACTCTTTAAAGATTAATCATTCAAAATAAATCAATAAATTATCTTATAGCACATGGTTCACCATTTTTAAAACAATAGAAATAGTCTTCAGCAGTACTATAACTGTATGAAAATTACATAATCCCTGAATATATCCCTTTTAACATTTATATTCACTCTTTTGTTTTATCATCAATCTTTATAACCCACGTCCTCGATGAGACTTAAAACAGTGATTTGAATAAAACCAAGTTGTTTCAATATATATAGTAAGTAAGAGTGAGTTTTTATGATAATATTATTGATCTGTCATGTATACAGCTCTTATAGCCTGATTAAATAAAAATAACCTCATATATCAATATAATATAATCAATATATAGCATATATAACTGTCCAAATTCAACAAGATAAAATAAACTATGTATCATATATTCACTCCGTAATATACTTATACATCTATAACTATTTATATTCACTGTTCCAAGCAATTGATATTAGTATGGTATATTAATTAAATTCTTTATACTAATTAAATGAAATATACAGATTGACTACCTATATAAACATCTGGTACCAGTCAATGTGTTTCACTTAGTTTCAAGAGTAAGAAAGTAGCCCTTTTCATCAGAATCACAGATATTTCTTTATAATTTATGTAATGTCTGCCCATTTCCTTTTCATTATTCTTGCATAAAATAATCAATTTTTCTTGAATTCTAATGTGGCTTCAAAGTTTATCTTTAAGTGATTCAGCAGTCAAATCTTACAATGTTAATTGAATACTGTTAGAAATTATTTGATTATTTTCAATAATACCTACATTAGACACTGTCTTGTTATCATCTTGAGTAACATACGAACTCTTATTTATTGTCACTGACTCCATAATAGCGTTTTCCTTTTTATATGAATTATTTAATATCTCCTCCTTCAATTGTTTATTATTATCATTATTTTCTGGTTTATTTTCACTATCACAGGCGCATTCAGTTATTGATCTTTCATCCTGATCAACCATAATAACAATATTTAAATCAATGTTTAAATCTTTAGTGGATAAATTATCCATAAATTCCACATCATTATCATTTTGTTCCGAATCAAATCCTAAATTATCCACACCATCACTTTCAATAGAATTATTTTCAGCCATTTTAAAAAACAACAAATTTGTGTTTCCAAAGATATTCACATCACGTGATGAACAAATCTAACAATACTTTTCCTTATAGAATGAAAAAGAGCTACAGCTACCCAGAATTAGGTAACTGGCTAAACATCCTGAAATTATCAAAATGATAAAAGTGACTGTGAGAATTCAAGGATAGTCCATAAAATTCTGCCATGAAATTAACTAATTATATTCTACATCATAAAATTCCTGTCTTATCAATTTTATTAATGAATTGTCACAAGTTTTAATTTCCTTGATAATTTATCATAGATATTCTGTAACTTGCCTCAGCTGGTGGAAACAGGAAAAATATTGTCATATATTTTACAGCAGGATTCTAGTTCTTACAGGTAATACAACATTTAGGTTCAAAGTTTTTCCTCATACTTAGGTCTACTAGCCTATGTATTCTTACATTTCATAATAGAAGTTCATTTACAGATTACTTTTATATATCATCTTATCTTGAGTATCAGATGAATAAGAATAGTGACTTCAAAACATATTTAATATGTGGTCTCAATTATTTAAAAATTAAGTGCTATATAATTCTCCCTACTTCATCCTACCCTTTAGTTCTATCATCTATCATCTGCTTTGTTGTTATAGTGTTCTTTATTATCAGATAGTGCTCTTAGTTGTTTTACAGTTTTTGTCTCCAAGTAATTGTATTTCATCTATTCTCTATTGTTATGATAGGCACATCTTTAATCATGATTGTTATGGTTATATCACTTTATGGCTATTGATTTACCTATACATCCTGTGTTGTTTGGTTGTTTATCATTTGACTTGATAATGTTACCTGTATGTGTTTAGAAACGTAGTATGTAATAAAACTAGAAGTAATATCATAATACTTAATGATCCTTTAGAATAGAATACTATACAGTAATAAGCTGACATGATAGATGGTGTTGAGTGTTTATAACATCATGAATTTTGTCAAACCATTGCATTGGATCTTCAGTGGAACACCTCACTGCTTGCTCATCTCAAATGACAATGGAACACCTCACTGCTTGCTCATCTCAAGTGACAATGGAACACCTCACTGCTTGCTCATCTCAAATGACAATGGAACCCTCACCACAGATCACCCGTTTCAAGCACAAGTTTTCAGCACCTGTTTTAAGCTATAATAGATGGCAGTTAGTAAAAGCCTGTCATGAGAAGATTATGATTTATGAAGACTGGTAGTCTACTTACCGTTAAGGATTTTAGGAAAATAAGAAATATTTTCCATTCAAGAAAGAACTAAGCATTTAATAGTTTTCAGGTGAACTTCACTGCTAACAAGGCGCAGCCATGTTGATTTTTTACAAATAAGTTCAATACGGTACAAGCCAATCTATCATAAAACATCGTTGTTCGAAATAACACGCACCGCATTGTGTGGATTTCTGAAAGCGGTTCCTTAATTTTCAAAGACTTTTTTCAAAAACTTTTAAACAAAAAACGAATCTATTCACATAAATGTCCTTGAATAAAAACCATAGGCTATGCTGAATAAAAAGTTTGTAAACTGCAATACACTAGTACTTTAGGTCATTGCTTTCTAGTGTCAACCCACATTCAACATTTAACACGAGTTAAAGAAGAATTGAATCAGATCATGATAGACTAGTAAGTAAAACTAAACCACAAGAAAATAAGGGGACAGATCATCTAACTTTACACTGGAGGTGAACATAACATATTACATTCCATCCTAGGGTTAAAAAAAAAGCATGTCAACAATAGTAATGTTTATTGTCATGGCAACAGAAATATACAATTATAACATCACAAAATATACAATAAATAAACATGATTATTATTAAATACATAATACATAATATTACCCATAAAGCATTAGTATAGATTTCCACTTTTATCATTCAACTTATATAAGGCGTTTTTGTGGGCCGATTCGATTAGGTAGTACGATTTGGTTTAGATTAGCAGCGGTCCACAAATGAGAAATTCAAATCGGCGATTTGGCAATATGGCTGCCTCTACTGACAACCAATGAAAGACCGCTATTTCCACATGCCGCCATCTTGGAAAAGCCTAATCGAATCGCCTAACCACCTCCTGGGACAGTTAGGACGATTAGCCAAATCAGTTTAGGTAAACTGGCTCACAAATGTACCGATTGGCCTCATCGTCCTGGCTCACAAACGCACAAAATAGCTAATCTACCTAATCGAATCGGCCCACAAAAATGCCTATAGTCGTTTAAATATTTACTCAATTTCAGCAGTTCATGACACATTTCTGAATAAATATCAGGAATCTTGTTCGCCTGCTGAAAACAATGATGGTTATTCATGTTATTAATATACAGTTATTATTCTATTATATTATGATGTTATTTGTAATAAGTTCAAGGGAGAATGTGTGAAAGATAGTCTAATCAGCTGTAAATAGTCTATTTAGGTTTTACCAGTGAATTTTGTCTAAAAATTTCAATAAATTGGAATGTGTAACTTTGTAAATGTTCATCAATTTTTAATCTGAATAATTGGATTTGTCACAATTTGAAATTTTCATTACAGGACATTTAATATTCAAAACATTTAACATTTATAAGGAGGTATGAGAAAATAATAACAAATTTAAACTTAACAATAATAATACAAAGTGAAATATATCTATAATTTATAGGACAATATATAACATGAAGCCTGATATTAAGTTTAAAGTAGTTCAATCAGTCATATAGATAGATTAGGTGGATTTGAAATATTTAGTAATGGCTAGAAATTAACCAATACTGATATAAATAGATACAATTTTTCTTGTTATTTCATTTCATTTGGAGTCAGCTTAATTTTATTTTAAGCATAGAAAATAATTTAGCATGGAATAGTATTTAAACTTTTCATCCAACTTTTTGGCTCTTTATTCAGAAACAAGAAACAATTCTTCAAAATTTTGTTTTGGCCTTTTCCCCGCCCAGTGTCACCTTTCACCCCAATATACCAAATCTTAAAATCTATCTGGTTGAACTACTTTAAAGGATTTTACGCAAGTTTGGCAAAACAATAAATTGAAAAAATAAAAGGGATGGAAACAAAAAAGAGGGGACCAGCCTTTTTCTACTATTCTACATCAAAAAATATTTAAGCATTAAGCATCTACATATATACATAGACTTGGGCATAGACTTGGGCATAGACTTGGGCATAGAGTACCAGAACTCTTTTACTTGACAACATGTTTTTATTCTGTTGAGAATAAGATCTCCAGGGATCAACAGAGATAGAGCACAGATTAGGCAAAAAAAATGTTCATGAAAAGCACAAGCAATTTGAACTTTTCCCCCAACCCTCACTCAATCAAGATTATACCTAATAAATAATGATAAATTAATGAGAAAACAATGCATGGATTGATAATAGAGAAATGACTTACTCCTAATTATCATGATCAATTGTTCATTAGGATTTTCTTATTCCTTGACTAACATATTCAGAATTCAAACAATTACTACTGGAGTATTTTCTAGCTGACTCCAAAAAATATCAATAAAATTCTATATTACAGTGCTAACATACAAAATAATACATAAAGCTAATAAATTATACTATCATAGAAGATCCTATCTGATATCTCAAGGGTATACGAGTCATTTCAATACTCATCCCTTGATCCAGTGCTCCTATATGTCTATTAACCAAACCTTGTGACCTCTACAAATCACTTGCATACCCTTGAGATATCAAACAGGGTAGACTTTCGATATATATATATAAGGGGACACAAAAAATTATTTCATATTTTCACTTATTTAAACATTAAAATAACCCATTATAATTCAATGAAAAACTGTAATATCCTTCCACTTCATATTGTGATATCAACAATATCAACGATATCAACAATATCAACAATATAACTGATATTAGCACTATAACTGATATCAACAATATAACTGATATCAAAAATATAAATGATATCAACAATATAACTAATATCAACACTATAACTGATATCAACAATATAACTGATATCAAAAATATAACTGATATTAGCACTATAACTGATATCAACACTATAACTGATATCAAAAATATAAATGATATCAACAATATAACTAATATCAACACTATAACTGATATCAACAATATAACTGATATCAACACTATAACTGATATCAACAATATAACTAATATCAACACTATAACTGATATCAACAATATAACTGATATCAACAATATAACTGATATCAACAATATAACTGATATCAACACATATAACTGATATCAAAAATATAACTGATATTAGCACTATAACTGATATCAACACTATAACTGATATCAAAAATATAAATGATATCAACAATATAACTAATATCAACACTATAACTGATATCAACAATATAACTGATATCAACACTATAACTGATATCAACAATATAACTAATATCAACACTATAACTGATATCAACAATATAACTGATATCAAAAATATAAATGATATCAACAATATAACTAATATCAACACTATAACTGATATCAACAATATAACTGATATCAAAAATATAAATGATATCAACAATATAACTAATATCAACACTATAAATGATATCAACAATATAACTGATATCAACACTATAACTGATAATTGATATTGAAAATAAAGAGAGTAATCATCAATTGTACGTTATAGTGGGTAATGAATGAATTGAAATGAATTTAAACAGGTGATTACATGACGATTTAACAAGAAAAGTTTAAATGAAACCAAGAGAAATATGGGAATAGCTTTTATATATATTTTACAATACTGAAGTGAAATATTTGGAGAAAAATCATAAATAAAATTATAAATTAACAACTGAATACTTCATTTTATATCAAATTCTTATTAGGTACATTTATATCAGAATCAGTTTAGGTTGAAAATTGCACAGATTTGAACACAGCCTCATAGAATCATCTACATTACTCTCATTTCATCTTTTATAACCAAAAAACAACAAATTGGAATAGGGAAAGAAGTAATGAAGTAAGTATGGAATTAGATATGAAGAAAGCCTGACAAGATGTATGGAGCTAGGAATGTATACTTGATATTCTTACATATTATATATATATATATCCATTAACAATAAGCTAATTAAAAATAATACTTTAAAGATTGTCACAATGTTTTATAATAAGCTATAAGCTAAAGAAGCTGATAATGGGCCTAATTTCACTACAATGCCATTACGTTCAGATGTTTTCTACTCTAGGTGTTGATCTTTAGGCTAAATAGATATGATTCCAGGTTAAATATTTGGCCATTTGTTGAACCTCTTGGTTTTTTATACAGTAATTTGACTATAAATATTTGAAAGATATTGGGCTTGCTACTAGTAAATATGTTCTTGAGAAATAGTATTTTTCTATAGATTGAGTTCATCTCTGGAGTAGAAACTTATATATCTTAACAGTAAATTAATTGACCAGAGTGCAAAGACTGAAAAAACAAAATGAGCACAAAGTAATAAGTATTGACTGTAATAAAATTAGTCCCAATATATTCAAAGCATCAAGTCTTAACAGAGTGTGGCTAGAAACACCCCTAAATCTGTTAATGATCTCTTCTGATTATAAATCAATGTGGTCTTGAGTATTTAATACATGTATGCCTGGAAGGGTTCATTAAAAATCAAGGGGTTTCTGTGTAGTGCACATTCAAGGCTGAAGAAAATACACCTGGCAATGAATTACATGCCTTATTTTAAAAATACACCAAGAGTTTCTTTCTAGACTGAAACATTGTACTGTATGTGAGAAAAGTTCTATAAAGTGCCAAATAAGGGTGTGAAATATAACGTGTATCATATTTCAAGCCTTGTGTAAATTTTTTCAGCCTTGTAAAGCATCTTACTTATCTGCAGCCAGCTCTCCTGCGATGGAGGCAGTTTCAACTGATGTACTTTCAACCTTAATAAAAGTTTGTAAATAATTCTGTAATTCTTCTAATAATGGATCACAAATTTTCTGGTAGCCAATATGAGTAAGATGGAGAAAATCAAACATGTCATGATGGTTGATAATGCCGTTAGAATTGATGAAATTCTGTGGTTCTATGTTGAGGAAGGATGTATTCGGCATCTCAGACAACTGTTCAGCCAAACCTTTGTTTATTCTCTCTATTTTCTCTCTAAGTGGGTTGGGTTTTTCCCCTCTCGGAGGAATTCCCTAAAAATAAAAAAAAGATATTTTAATTCCTGATTTATGCGTGTCTTTGAATTTATCAGTCAAAAATGAACAAAATATGATTCCCTTAAATAGCTGGTATTATGGTATCAAATCTAGGGAAGATCAAAGATCAGCTGGTATAAAAATTCTTAAAATAACAAGTTGGTATCCTTGTATAATATAGATATTTCTGCTATAGATGAGTACAGTGCAAGACTATTTCCAAGAGGTTTGGTCAATGACCAGCTGATAAAAAAAACCCTTCAAACATAATACTTCTAACTTATCAAAGTTTCTACCTGAAATATCTGATGTTAACTTACCAAGACAATAAGTTGAGCCTGTGGTTGTTTAGTTTGAATAACGTTAATTATTTCTATAATACCACCCACTATTTGTTCTGATGTATGATCATGATTATTGGTACCAACTAGTAATACTATCACCTGAAATTATACGAGAGGTTCAATATAAGTACCAACTAGTAATACTATCACCTGAAATAACACGAGAGGTTCAATATAAGTACCAACTAGTAATACTATCACCTGAAATAACACGAGAGGTTCAATATAAGTGCCAACTAGTAATACTATCACCTGAAATAACACGAGAGGTTCAATATAAGTGCCAACTAGTAATACTATCACCTGAAATAACACGAGAGGTTCAATATAAGTACCAACTAGTAATACTATCACCTGAAATAACACGAGAGGTTCAATATAAGTACCAACTAGTAATACTATCACCTGAAATAACACGAGAGGTTCAATATAAGTACCAACTAGTAATACTATCACCTGAAATAACACGAGAGGTTCAATATAAGTACCAACTAGTAATACTATCACCTGAAATAACACGAGAGGTTCAATATAAGTACCAACTAGTAATACTATCACCTGAAATAACACGAGAGGGTCAATATAAGTACCAACTAGTAATACTATCACCTGAAATAACACTAGAGGTTCAATATAAGTACCAACTAGTAATACTATCACCTGAAATAACACGAGAGGTTCAATATAAGTGCCAACTAGTAATACTATCACCTGAAATAACACGAGAGGTTCAATATAAGTGCCAACTAGTAATACTATCACCTGAAATAACACGAGAGGTTCAATATAAGTACCAACTAGTAATACTATCACCTGAAATAACACGAGAGGTTCAATATAAGTACCAACTAGTAATACTATCACCTGAAATAACACGAGAGGTTCAATATAAGTGCCAACTAGCTGAAATAACACGAGAGGTTCAATATAAGTACCAACTAGTAATACTATCACCTGAAATAACACGAGAGGTTCAATATAAGTACCAACTAGTAATACTATCAAAACAAATCCACTGTTAAAATAGCATCTCTGATTAACAACAGGTCCTGTTTTCATACTTTTAATTTTAATATTTACAAAAAAAAACATCGATAATAGTTCAGTCTAATAATACACGCTATAGTCCTCTTGAGAGTTCAGGGGTTCAGATGTTATATTTATTTTACCTTAGGTTTTACATCTTCTAATTCTCCATTTTGTATTCTCCATAAAACATGTTGAGTCTGATCTCCTCCAATACCAAAATTAATACAATGTAACGGCTCAAACATCTGTTGCCAATGCTACAAATACAAACCTCAATAACAATTACAAACCTCAATTACAAATACAAACCTCAATTACAAATACAAACCTCAATTACAAATAGAAACCTCAATTACAAATAGAAAGCCTAATTACAAATAGAAAGCCTAATTACAAATAGAAAGCCTAATTACAAATAGAAAGCTTAATTACAATTCAAGTAAAATATTCTGCTAGATATTGTGTTAAGTTTATTTCTAATGGTTAATTCACTCATTCTAGTTCAAACTGGAAAAGAAACATTGTTAAAGATTTGATTTTTTTGAGGGGATTTGGGGTAGTATAAGAATATCAGCATTCTAACTAGGCTTCAATAGACAAAGGCTTAGATCACCTGTGAAAACTAGAAATACCTGTGTTTGAGCTAGATTGGAGATCAGGGAATCACCAATAAATATCACTTCAGGCTCCCTTTCTTTAGCTTCATTGAGAAATAAATTGTGCTGAAACAGAAATAGAATATCAAATGTCAATGTTGTTGAAAGAATTAAAAAATGAAATTCAGTGAACAAGAACATCAACTTTCGTTATCATTATACCAAAGACCACGCCTAATAGCAATACCTAGGAAAGATAGCTTGCAATTTCCACCAATACCATTAGGCACCATAGACATATTTTACAACAGATAGGCCAACTACATAGCCAGACAATGCCTTAGTTAATGGTGACAGCTCAATCAATTGTATTGTGATAGAAAATCAGACAAATTCTGACTCAGTCGACGACAGACTGGCCTGTATTGTATAGTGTCATTAGTAAGCCTGTAAGGAGAGTGAGATGCTGTGGACATTTGTTTGTTATATTTGAGATTTTCGATCTTGACAACATAGTTCATACCATACTCATCCATCTTCCGTCACCCTGAACATCTTCTAAAGGGGTAGCTATCGCGGCTGGATTCATTTCACAACAATAATTGTCCCAATTTCAGCTTTTTATCTTCTGAGTTATTTTTTTCTCCAATATTATTATCAAACCGGAAGTCGCACCTGCGCTCGCCCGATTTCCGGGAAAGTGAAAGTAGAGCAATTTCTATGAACATTTCTTCAAAATTTGAAATCATAATAAGTTGAATACACGAATTGTAACTTTTAACCGACTATTTTATGTAGGAAGCCCCCTCTACTATAATTATAGTCAATGTTAGTTTTTCCAAAACCTATTTTAAAGGAAAATGATTTAATTGCAAATAACGTGTCATTGACGAGTTGCGTCCCCTTGGCAGTGTCCAAGAAGACAGCGTTCAGCAATATTTGACACTTCAAAACTTTAACCAACAAATTCAATGATTGTTCCCTTGAAAACTGAATTGGTGGTTTGGTAATAAGATAGGAAATGGCAGAAAGTAACGTGAAAAGTATGTATAAAACTCCAAAAGAGTTTCCATTAATGCGTTTTTCGTTTCCCTTTTTTGAAGAATATATTCTCAAATTCAAAATGGCCGACAATTGTCTTTCACTGGCCATATTGTTTATCGTGGAATTTCTATTTTACATGGAGATGATGACGTTTTCTCTTCATAATAACTTAGACAAATGACAATTGTACACTATTGCGTATGAATTTAGAACTGTCAATGTTGCAGTTGAAACGTGAAATAGTTTCGATTGGTTACTATAATAGTGCAACTTTAAAAAATCTTTTTGACCAATTATACTTTAATCTCAGAAACAGGAATTTTTTTAGCCAAGTCAATCAGTAAAAGTGTTTACACCATCGAAATTTGAGCCATCTAATCCTTCTTTGTCCTGGTATTTAGCTGTTAATATATCTGTAATTCTTGTATAATTTCAGGGCACCATGTAATATAATGAGAATGTAGTTCTATGAGTTATTTGACTGTGATTATATCTGTAATTTGTGTATATTTTCAGGGCATCATGTAATATATAATGAGAATGTAGTTCTATGAGTTATTTAGCTGTGATTATATCTGTAATTTGTGTATATTTTCAGGGCACCATGTAATATATAATGAGAATGTAGTTCTATGAGTTATTTAGCTGTGATTATATCTGTAATTTGTGTATATTTTCAGGGCACCATGTAATATATAATGAGAATGTAGTTCTATGAGTTATTTAGCTGTGATTATATCTGTAATTTGTGTATATTTTCAGGGCATCATGTAATATAATAAGAATGTAGTTCTATGAGTTATTTAGCTGTGATTATATCTGTAATTCGTGTATATTTTCAGGGCACCATGTAATATATAATGAGAATGTAGTTCTATGAGTTATTTAGCTGTGATTATATCTGTAATTCTTGTATATTTTCAAGGCATCATGTAATATAATGAGCATGTAATTCTATGAATTATTTAGCTGTGATTATATCTGTAATTTTTGTATATTTTCAGGGCATCATGTAATATAATGAGAATGTAGTTCTATGAGTTATGTAGATGTGATTATATCTGTAATTTGTGTATATTTTCAGGGCATCATGTAATACATAATGAGAATGTAGTTCTATGAGTTATGTAGATGTGATTATATCTGTAATTTGTGTATATTTTCAGGGCATCATGTAATATATAATAAGAATGTAGTTCTATGAGTTATTTAACTGTGATTATATCTGTAATTCGTGTATATTTTCAGGGCATCATGTAATATATAATAAGAATGTAGTTCTATGAGTTATGTAGATGTGATTATATCTGTAATTTGTTTATAT